AAGCCGATCAACGGTCCTTAGTGTAGAGAAACATCTTGAGTGTGTATAGATTTACTATTTAAGTTGTAAATACTTGGAATTGGGACTTGAAGTTATATCACAAGGTTGGTCCAGATGTCCAACAACCGAAAATATGGTCCAGCCCATAGCCAAATTACGAGTTGCTTCGTATCCTTAGCCAAATTACTGGCATTTTGAATATAAAAAGTGAAATATAATACTTAATAATTACGTATCATAATTTTCCCTAAAACAGAGAGATTAGTTTGAACAAAACAAAATACTTAATAATTTTATCCATCACTTTTTCGAATAATCATTATCATGTGTACAATGATATTTTGGAACTTTTTCATAAAACTTCTTGAATGATGATATTCATACTCGATGAACATAACAATGGCATCTATTGGCAACCTTACATGATGCCTGGTGGTGTATATGGATTCTTGCCAGACAACATTAATGTGAACATTTTATTTGACTTTTGATAAATAGTTGTGATAAATAGTTGTTAGAGATATTAATGAAAATTTTGGCCAAAACAAAAAAAGGAGATTAATGGAATCAAATTAAAATACTTAATTACTTTATTCATCTATGTTTTCTTAACAATTAATATCGAGTTTACATTAGTGGTATTTCCAAAATCTTTTTCAAATATGATACTCGTATAGAAGAAGTATCACGGGCGCATCTATTGGCAATAGTACATCCTCGCTTATATGGATTCGCTGGTATGCGCTTATAATATGCGGCGGTAGGAAATCTTGGATTACAACCATTACCTAAATCTCTTCTGATAGTGAATATATTTTCTTTGCGCATCAATGCTACTTATAAACACGCATATTGTCACAAACGTAACCTCTTTTTTTTTAATCATAATTTTAAGGTTTGGATGTGATTATATTTGGTGGAGAGATTGGAAAAGCCAATTCGTATATATAGTGCAAGAGGATAAGTTATAGTTTCACTAGCTTTAATACAAAAGTCAAATTTTGATTTTGGTTGAGTTCCAATTTAGATAGTTAAATTAAATATAAAAACCGAATTGGTGTTACAGTTTCCGTTTCAGTTTTTTTTTCTTCAATATATACATTAATTAATTTTGAAACATTTGAAAATATTGAGGTTTTAACGATCATTTTTTTGTTTGGTTTAATTTCAATCAGTTTTTGTTTTGTTTAAAAACAATATCAGTCTCCTAATGCTAGTATTAATTCTCAAAATTTGGTTATGTTTAAATTTTAAAATTATTTATAATATTATAAAGTGTTATTTTCTAATTATTTATTTGACCCGGAATTTTTTATTTTGACCCGACTCATTGGCCAATCACAGCTCTCGGATCCTTTTAAATAAGACTTGCCAAAAAAAAAAATCAAGTAATTAGACTCAATATTCGCTTAGTTACTATCCTAATCTACCAAATCCTAACCATATCTAAATGACCCGCATTAAACGTTAGATCTATACTTATGAGACTTTCCTAAAACATTACCAAAGATTTCGGAGTATATAGTATATTCCTACAGTTATTACTAAGAATATTTAGTTATAACAAATGTATTTACCGGATTCAACATCTTTCCTATATAGATGCTAACAGATTCGTTAGATATACTTCTTATTATTATTATGCTAACAATTGTACATTCAATATCTTTCCTATTATTATGGATCGCAATCAATAATACATATTCTGATAATAAAACAGATTTGTTAATCACATCCAATTTAAATGCTAAATATATTCAGCAAATATCTTTTGTTTCCTAATAAAACTGAACAATATAACATTTACATTCAATAGCAACGAGAACAATTGGAAATGTTGCATAACTAAACGATTTTACTCTTATTTTCTATAGCATCTATGTAGCATATTCCATAGATTTTCGATTTTAAAGATTTTTAAAAGCATATTTCCATTTACAACTGAAATTAATTTTCGTAGATATCTTAATTTCATTGATTTTTGAAATTAATTCCATAACAACCTTAATTATTATTCATTTAGTTTTCTAATTCTAGGCAATTATAATTAATTCAAAGAGATTTTGCTTGCTCACAAAAGATTTTACGCAAATGTATCACAGCTAAACCTAATCGTATATGTCCTCTATATATATCCATTTCATATCCAAGAGAAAACATCACTTCTAAACACGATCAAAATAATTCTCCAAATACCTTCAATTCTTTTCATCCTAAAATTACCTCTTTTTTCATTTTCCATTTGTATGGTTCTTTGTGACATCAACAAAGATTTGACTGGCGATGCCGTCTCAAAAGTCTTAGAATCTGAAAGCAAAAAAGAATTCAGAGAGATACTATAGAATTAGTTTTAGCGGATGAAAGGTGGTTCAATCGATCTCTAACTAACTCTTTTACTATCATTCTTTATCTGCTATTTCTCAAAAAAATTTGACTTCTCGGTTTTGTTTTTCTGAATTGTTTCTTCTCTATTTTGTATATTTGAATTGTCAGGTTGATAGGATTGCAACAACGTATAAACAACGCCAAACCAATGATAACTCCCTCAAGTACGTTTTCAATCAGCAAATAGAATGGACTCATCAACCTATGTCAATCATCAAAACAAACATCAGGACCAATCTTTTTTTTTTGGTCAAACATCAAGACCAATTAAACTAAACACTTTATTCTAAAAGAAGCATCAAGTAAGCTTACTTGGAGAGGGCAAGCACGTATACTATCTTCTTCCAAAGATTTAACCTCTTTATCAAGTTTAGCCATCAAATCAGCTTTCAAAACTACACCATCATAAAAAATAAAATAAAAAACAATTCCATTACATGATCTTTCTCAAACAAACAATTGAACGCAAAGTTATTTCTTAATCTACTCATATCCCTAATTATTTCTAAGCAATTAATTAGCAATACTAATAAGCTAATGAAGTCACAGTCACATCAACATATCAATACACGAAAAAAATTTCAAAGAACAACTACAAAATTGAGATTTCTGATTTCCACATAGCAACCTTTTGACACTGAGACACATACTTAGTATCGAAAACCCTAAATCTGGAGATGTGATACTCAAATGTCTAATCACTGAGAAATTCGATTACCAATTGTTACAGTAATTCCCTAATTTAGCGAGGAATTGGAAACCCTAAGATTCGAAATCATGAAACGAAAAGGGGAAAGAGTAAGAACTGACCACGCATAGCTTCGTCTTTTCGCTCTTGCATAGAAGGAATATCCGGTGTAAAATGGAAATCGTCTTCACATAGCTGTCAGTTCGAGGAGAGGATGAAGATGGAGCCCGTCCTCAATTCCTCAGGTTCATTAATTTTTTTTTTCTCTGCGTTTTTTTTGTCACGATAGATGTTGTTTTTTTTTAAAACAATTTTGTTGGGTTTCTAATATTTGGGTTTCTATTTTACTTATTGGGCTTTGTATATTAAGTTTATCTTAACTAGATTAAAATTTCATAATACAAATAATTATTAGACAAAATTATACTGTTAACATAAATACAACTTATTATACTGTAAACATAAATACGGTTAACATAAACCAAATAATTAGGATATCAACCATATAAATAAAAGAGAAAATACTATTATACTTGACAATATCATAAACTTAATTTCATTTTAAAACACACAATAAATTCTCCAAATAATTATCTATCAACACAAACAACAACCAAAACTATACACAACTAATTCTCCATTTATTAAAAAAAATAACAAAAATATTTAACCCGCGGTATACCGCGGGTCATATCCTAGTTTCTAACTCAATAGATATAAATTTCGTAACTCGGTCCGGTTCATTATGTCGTTTGGCCTTACCAATGTGAATTTTCATTCTTATAAACGTAAACGTAAAAACAAGAACCGATATAATCATAATCTCAGAGATATAAAAAATAAATAAAAAATTGTCATGCCCTCGCTGGTGGGGCGAGTTACCTAGTATTATATAAATAACAAAAAAAAAAAATTACGAGCTGAATTTAAGAATCAGTTATAATGTAAGTTTATCATAATATCTAATATTTTCCGTAATTTTAGAAAAAAATATATATTTAAATAACTGGTTCAAAAATTTAAAAACCAATTATAATTTTTTTCTTTGGTCGGGAAACCGTTATAATTAATTATTTGGTTTATAGTGTAAAGTTATTTACATTGTTTTTTGTTACAAAAGCTCAAATATTTTAATGGTTGACAATTTTTATTACTAGGATTTTCTTATCAATTTATTATTATTTTTTTCTAGACTAATAAACAAGTCAAGTATAATAATTTAGTAAAAATATTTGAGTCATATTATTTGCAAAATTAAAAAAGAAAATTCTAGGACAGAATGATAAATTTAGTAATCTCATTAAGTTTTACATCTATGGGACTTTTAAATTGGCAGAAAAAAATGTAGAATTTGATGAAATTAAATATAAGAAAATGAGACCTTTGCATTTTTTTTTTTGGTAGAAAAATGAGACCTTTGCATTAGGAAAGTCAAAAGTGAGTTATGAGGTCAAAAGTTGTAGGTGCTTTACACGTGTTCTGTTTAATGTCGACCTTATATGTTGTAAATGGGCTTATTGGGCTCCAAAATGGGGTACTGATTTTGCCTCACAGGCTTAATAAGATCGGTTAGTTGCCGACAAATATTAAAAAGTAATAGCCGTTTGCGTTTTCCCCCTCAGTATCCCATTTATTAAGGCCGATCGAGAGAAATTAGGGTTCTAACATTCCAAAAAAGCTCGGATCTTGTTTCCAAAAAAGCTCGGATCTTTGTTTCCAAAAAGCTCGGATCTTGTTTCATTTTGTCTCGCACAATGGATAAATCGCAGAAAAAGCCTAACAAAATCTCAGGTAAATCCCGTGTATCAAGGAATTAAAGAATCGTTTGTTGATTGTTTTTTTTGGTAGAAAAGAATCGTTGATTGTTGGGATTTAGTCTCGCGATTTTGATAATATTGTACAAATAATGGTCTGATTTTAATCCCGTATATTAAGGAATTAAAGAATGGTGCGTGATTGTAGGGATTTAGCAAATAATTCGTCAGATTTCAATCTTAATTTAGTCCTTGTTGTTTTTGCTGAGTCAGACTCGAATAAACCGCATTACTCGGAGGTAGCGGCTGGTCTTATGGCGAAGATGGGGTATGACCAGTCTCAAGGACTGGGAAAGAATTCCCAAGGCATAAAAGAGCCGATACAAGCCCTTATACGTCCTAAGGGATTGGGACTTGGGTATGTGGATGATGATATGCTCGTGCCTCTTCTTGCACCTGCACCTGAACCAGAAGTGGTGCCTGATCTTTTACCTGATATAGCTTCACCTAAAGTTGTAGCTGAAGCAAAAGGGCCTCCCAACGATGATGAGAGATTAGAGATTATCCAAGCAGAAGCACGCAAGGCTTGGGAAGAGTTAGTTTCTACTGTGCGAGGTAGAGAGTTTTGGGGACCCGAACCCTTAAAGCAGGAGACTCCCGCTGAAGATGATGTTCTTATCAATAACCATACCATGGTTTGGGGTTCATATTGGAAAGATCACAAATGGGGGTTTGGTTGTTGTAAAAATTTCACTAAGGAGAGTTTCTGTCAACCTCCTGAGTGTAACTCTGACTTCCCTGCTTCTACTTTCAGTCATGAGTTTACCCATCAAATACAGGTATCACTTTGTGTTTATAGCTTTGTTTATATAATAAGATAGATAGTGTTTGAACTGTCCTTCCTATGCTGGTGCAGATTGGTGCAAACACACAAATGAGAAAAAGAAGGAGGAAGAGCAGAGGTGTTAAGAAAGAGCAAGAAACACAGATTGTTGCCACAGCCTGTGCAAGGTTTTCACCTGACGGAATGCATCTTGCTTCTTGTTGCTCGTTTGATGCTTTCATAAAGGTTAGCTGTTCTGGACTCTACTTTTAAAAGTCTTAAAAGCGATCAGACTCTAAAGAAATAAAACATTGCATTGCAGATTTGGGATTACTCAACTGGAATCTTGAAGATGTCTTTCCAAGACCAAACTGAAGTAAACTCTTGTGTTCACCTTTTTTTAAAACGTTGTGTTATAGCACAGGACAGGGGTCTTATTAGCTGTGTTAAATTCTGACAGGATGATCATCTCCTCTGTATTGAGTTTAGTCAAGATTCCAAAAGGCTTGCTTCTGGTTCAAAAAATGGTAACATCAAGCTCTACAATACAATAACCCGTGAGCTTCTACTCACTTTGGAACATGCTCATTCCAAAGGAGTGACATCCCTACATTTCTCTATGGATGGAAAAGAGCTACTAAGCAGCTCATTGGACCACAAAGCGAGGTTCATTTCCTTCACTTCTTTAACGTTTTTATTCTTTTTTGAATCAACTTTATCTTTGATATTTTGTTTTATATATGGTAGAATACATGATTTGGGCACTTTGGAAATGACGAAAGAGTTCTCAGGGCATAGTGATTCCGTTAATTGTGCAATCTACTTCTCAACCGACAGAATACTCACAGCCTCACAAGATTGCACAGTAAAAGTAAGTTAAGTGACTGCAAAATATCATCTGTAGAGAAACTTAATCTTAGTCTTTTCTTTTTTTTTGTTTATTTGAATATTTGCAGGTGTGGGATCCAAAAACAACCACGTGTCTAATGACAATTGAACCAGCACTTTCTTTGAACGTATGTACTCTTTCACTAAAACTTTATCGTATGTTATTTTTTTTTCATGTGTGGCTAAGTCTCAGCCAAATATGTTTCTTGCAGAAGAAAAGAGCCCCTGTCAACTCTATTCATATGTTGCCCACAGAGTTAGGAAAAGTCCTTGTTTGCAGCAAGACTTCATCACTCTCAATCATTGACTGCTTTCAAGGAAAGCTTGTGAGGACCTTAACAGCTTCCAAGGTTCAAGGAAGTGCATTCATTGCCGCATGTGTATCTCAGAAAGGAAACTTCATATATGCAGTTGGTGAAGACGGCATGGTCTATTGTTTTGATTATAAGACGGGGGAATTGAAGCATCGGCTAGAGGTGAAAGGAGTAAGTGTATGTGAAGTATCACACCATCCATGTAGAAATTTAATTGTCACCTGCAGCAAAACAAGCTCCTTAAAGCTTTGGAGTGGGTGGAGGAGGTGATGAATGGATGACACGTGATGGAGATTGTTTGTAAAGAGGTGATGAATGGATCGCTGATGATAGGGAGATGATGTTTTTTTGTGTGTATTCTTTTTTCTTGAAATTCTAGTGGTTAAACGTGTCAGCTCATTCTGATTTTTGTCAAAAACTTTATTCATTTCATTCTTTTTTCTCTTTTTCTTGAAATTCTAGTGGTTAAACGTGTATAGAGCTTTTGTTAAACGTGTCAACCCATTCTGATTTTTGTCAAAAACTTTATTCATTTCTTTTAATAAAGTTGTAGGTGTTAAGAATAAGATGCATTGTATCTAACATCTCAAACCTACAATGAATCTATGTAACACTGGGTACACATATCTTGGACACCACACTTTCTTTTTATGCTCATGGTCACTGGAGACGCCAGAGGCTTCACCACAGGATTGACAAAGAGGGTCTGTTTGAAAACCTCTCTTAGACATTTGGGTGGCTATGAACTACCAGAAAGTTCCTGAGCTTTGGCGGCACATTAAACTTCCATACTGCTCGGAAGAGTGCTCTCACTCTTTTTCTCACTGACTTCATTGCTTTTTTCTCAGCCTTCTTCTCTTCAAAACATCTTGGCTTCAATTCCTTATCCATCTTTGGCATCAATCAACAAAACATCAAGTTCGGCTTTCCCCAACCAAAATCAGCCTCTCTTACACCAGCTATTACTCATCCACTGGTCCATCTGATTTCCTCTTCCAAATGCTTTCCCAAACATAGCTCCTTGATCATTACACTCTATGGATAAAATTTCTGACAGAGATTTCTTCAGCTTAAAGGATGAAGCAGACCCCAAAAGGTTCTGAGGATATCAAGGAGAGAGAGAGAAGACGGTTTGGTTGTTTCTCTTGCAATGATCTCAACTTTCTTCTCCATTATTACCCACCCACAAAATCTTCTCAACTTTCTGGTGACAGACACCCTTAATATCACTTCACTTGAGTGAAGATCCTTGATGAGATAAAGGTAAAGATTCCTGCAACACCCATACTATTATTATTGACTATGAAAAGCAAATAAAGAATAAGGGCTGAGTCCTCCAGAGGCTTGCATCAAAGAATGCGTGGAACTCTGCAGCCGTCAAACCAAATCATAAACCTCAGCGAGCTTGTTGAGGGTGATAATAGGAGCATCATTATTTGTGAGTGAACTCATTTTAGAGAGCGCATCTATCTTCTTGGAGTACCTGTCAAGAACAAACGCCAGCTCTATGCTTTAGAGTTCCCAATGATTCTTCAAAGGTATATGTATGGGGATATTCAATCAGAATTACTGAGAGCAGAAGATAGATGCAGAGAACAGAGTCAAGAAAACATGAACTCGGTCAAAGCAGATAGGATATGCCAAAGAGATTGAAAAATTAATGTTCCTCTTTGCTTCTGCACACAGCTATAGCCTTCTCTTATCTTTCAGATACCATAACTAGTTTTTTAACCTCAACTCCTACTGTTTCATTCAAAGCTCTTACCTCTTGAATGTTGAAACTGCCTCTCATTGTAACCATAGAAATCAGATGTGTTTATGGATTAGTACGTGCTCACAAAATCGTCAAACGGCGTCTTCTCGCATTCCACTAGCAGAAGATCATGTTACGCAGACCCAACATTCGATGATAGTTGATCAAAAGGTATGACTGAGGAGATGACAGTCATGGAGGTAGTTCCTTGTACCTTTTTCTCCCCGTGAACTCTCATTGCGTTTTAGGTTTTTATTGCCAATATCGGTGATGCTAAGGCTGTTTTGGCACGATCCTCTACTCCCAGTGAGATGGGGAATCATATAGAAACATGTAATCCACTCAAAGGAATTCTTTTGACAAGAGAGCACAAAGCAATTTATCCACAGGAGCGTTCTCGCAGTCAAAAGGTAAGATTAGCCTATGATGAGCCAGACAGTGATCTCCTAGAGTACACCATGCTCTGTTAATAACTAAGTTTCGCAGTCAGGTGGTGTTATAAGCTCAAATGGACGGTTACAAGGGCGTCTTGATGTTTCTAGGGCTTTTGGTGATCGTCAATTCAACAAGGTAATGATTCTTTGCCTTCCTGGAAGTTCTTGAAAACCTATATCAGTTCAACTCCAAACATTAATCTTCATGGTTCTAACATAAGTCATTGAATCCAGTTTGGTGTCAATCGACACTTTCATCAGCATCACCGGCGCTTCTGACACCGTCGCCCTTCAGAAACTCGAGGTGATTCGAAATTTACTCATCTCGATTCATGTTTCTCTTTGTCCTTCTTCGCGATTCCTTATGATTCATGTTTGAATTCGAAGTTTTTAGAATCGGTAATGTGAAAGTGAAAGTTCGATGAGACGACGATCGTTTGTGTAATCGGATGCTTTTTCCTTTACTCGTTATGATGTTTGATGTTTTGGGGTTGAAATTGAAGTTGATTTTCAGAATTTTAGGTCATTAGATGGTCTGATTGAGTTTCTACAAGGGTTTTTGTTCTTACATTGCTTTTTAGCTCAACGATATCTCCTGAATTCTCGCGTTTATTACTTGTTCATTGATGATTGTATGATTTTCTCCAATGTTGACAGAAATAGGAAACTTTGGTTGCCTTATATCCGTCTGAATATCAATATAAGTGTATTTCGTGGTAGTATCATAACTGATTCCAGTCTTATCTGCTTTTGATTACTGCAGGAACATCGTGGTGATCTTAATCAAGCGGTGAATGCATATTTCAGCGAAGGAGATCGAAATGTGTATGAACATCTATCTCACTGATGATTATTTATTTTTGTTCTCTCTTGCAAATTTATCATTTTGTCCTGTGTGGTATGTATGTTGTTATGCTCTATGTGCAGAGTACGTGAAGCGCCGATTAATGCTTCTTATGATGATGATGAAATGGATATAGATGATGTGATTCCGGCTCCACAATCTCCTCTATCTATGTTCAATGCAGCTAGAACAATGGGCCGTCCTTTTTCACTTTTGGATTCGGACTTTGCTAGACGTGTATTTGATAGCGATCCTCTTATGCCACGCCTTCCGTTTGTTAGTCATCCCAGAGAGGTTAGACAGATACCAATCGAGGTTAAGGATAGCAGTGGACCATCAGGACGATCTAGTGATGCTCCTACTATTGAGGATGTGACAGAAACAACACATGTTCAGGCTCCAGCTACCCAAGGAACTGTTATTATAGACGAAGAGAGTGATGATGATATTCCTTTTGCACCAATGGGACGAAGTAGGCAAGACAGACCTGCTGGTTCTGAAGCCAATAATAATCAAGATTACAATGATATAGAAGAAGAAATGATCAGAGCTGCCATTGAGGCCTCAAAGAAGGAGGCTGAGGTAAGCTTCTCTAAGAGAATGGGCAGTATTGGGGTTTGTCTTGTGTTTTTTTTTTGGCTTAATGAAGTAGCTAAATTTATGTGCTTTTATATTGTTTTATAGGGATCAAATAACCCTTTGCTTGAAGAAAGGCCACCTCACGTGGAAGATGATGATGACATAGCAAAAGCTGTTTACAATGTCACTGAAGGTCTGGTTGTCTCCTCTCTTTTATTTTTGCTACCATCTTCCTTTTGATCTCTTTTAACATAAGTTAGTGCAGTCAGCAGAGGAAGAAGTTTTGCGCAATCAAGGGCTTATGCCCTCAACCTCAGAAATAGGAACTTCTGAAATGGCTGTTGCTCAAGGACCTCAGGATACCCAAGCCCTGAACGGAAGGTTTGTTGATTCTTCTCTGTAAAGCTTTGCTACTGTGTTATCTCTGAGCTTAATATCTGCAGTTTCAAAAACTTCTGTCAAGCATTTTGTCAACTGATATTTGTCAAAAAATCAAGGTCTAACAAATTGTCTTTTGTATTGTCTAGATTGGCAGCACCTAGCTCACCATTTGATGATGACTCTGATGATGTTGATGAGCAACCTCTTGTTAGACACAGGCCAAGACGTGCAGCATCTGGATCTCTGGCTCCACCTAACGCTGATCGTTCCCGGAGTGAGAGTCCTGAAGAAGAAGGTGCAAGTACTAATCCAGCGGAGCGTGGCAGTGGGTTTCCTTCTGAGGTATCCGTTAAATCTGTTTTGTTAATTACAGTGAAAGCAGACTAGAATTCCAGTATTACTTATAAGAATCCTTGAGTAGCTAGTCCTTGCCATTGCTAATACTCTATTGTGTATGCTCAAGTGGGGAGGCATTTCGTCTGAGGAACATGATGAAGCTGTCATGCTCGAGGCAGCCATGTTTGGTGGCATTCCTGAAACTGGATATAATCATCGTCCATATATACCTCCTCAGCCGTGGGCACAACCCCGTCCACCCTCACCTTCGCTGACAGCTCAGAGGTTAATACGGGAACAGCAGGTTAGGCACCTCTTACTAGCTGCCTGACTAAATCCCTTTATTGTATTGAGGGTTATGGGTGATGATAATATACGTAAGCTGCTACATCGTGCAGGATGATGAGTATCTTGCATCCCTGCAAGCTGACCGAGATAAAGAAATGAAATCCATAAGAGATGCTGAGGCACGTCAGCTAGATGAAGAAACTGCTAGAAAGGCTTTTCTGGAGGAAGAAAAGAAAAAAGAGGAAGAAGTTCAAAGAAAACTCGAGGAGGAACAGGTGCCGCTTCTGTTTTCATATATAAACTCTCTTTCTAAATCCGCGTTGAAACAGAGTTTTTTGTAAATTTTTTGACTGCGGATTGATACCGAGATTCCTTCTAGTAGATAGAGAAAGATCAGCCTAAACACATGCAACTTTGAAACCCCTTGCCTGCTTTAGAAAAATGGATATCTATACCATACAACGATTAAGTAAAATAATCTGGTTTACCGTTGCTGTGTTGGGTGGTCTCTGTACCATACAATGATTATGAAAAATAATCTGGTTTAAACACAATTGTTAGTGAAAGCAGTTCTCTTGTAACTGATCACGGTTTTTTTCCTCTGAATTTTGTTGCAGGAGCTAGAAAGGCAACTAGATGCAAAAGAAGCGTCTCTACCTAAGGAGCCCCAAGCAGATGAAGAGAATGCCATTACCCTTCTAATCCGGATGCCGGATGGCACACGCCGTGGCCGCCGGTTCCTTAAATCCGACAAACTCCAAGTCAGTTTTCCCAAAAGTCCATTTCACTTTGATTTTGCATTACTTAAATTATATCCGTCAATGACCGTTAGTTGCGCTGTATTGCAGTCTCTTTTCAACTTTATAGACATTGCCAGAGTGGTCAAACCCAACACTTACAGACTGGTAAATCTTCTCCCTCTCTATAAATAGATCTCTCTCTTTTGTCGAATAGAACCCTGCTTATAGGAAGTTATGAGTGCCGGTTCCAATTTCTGAATGAGGTCAATGACCCAGTGTGGTTTAGACTCTAGACTCGATCCATCCTGGCCCTGTGGCTAGGCCAGCCAGCGGTTAGCTGTGCCATAATGTAAAGCAAAAATGATATGCTTAACCGGTTTGGTCCAAAATCAGTCAGGATCTGTCAAGGTCTGAAGTTTTGGTGTGGTGAAACAGGTGAGGCCATATCCGAGGAAAGCGTTTGGGGATGGAGAAAGTGAGTCAACTCTGAACGATCTTGGATTGACCAGCAAACAAGAAGCACTGTTCCTTGAGCTTATCTGAGCAAGTTTAAAGTTCTTAAATATAAGACTCTTTAATTTTTAAGTTATTACTTCTTTCTATACAAGAATAGTAATTGTTGGTGCGATTATAATCTATAAAACCGTTTTCAGTTGTACATACAGTATACATTACTGCCTAATCTCTGGCTCTCTCGTTCTCTAGTATAATTTTTATCATCTTCGATTTTCTTATAATTTGGTGTTTTGTGAATCAAGAAGCTTTGTGTCTGCAGACCAAAAGCAAACAGAAATGATATTACCATGTTCAAGCAATAGCTCATGATTTTGTTCATCAAAAAGTAGCGGTAACAACTTGCACTATATCATATGGCTTGGAAAGTCTAAGTACAAACATGACACCACTCAACCTTCCCATAAATCTCCTGTTCCTTGCGTGACTTGCGTTATTCAAGCACAATCTCAGCAGACCAAATCATCATCTACTTAGTGCCTATACCACGCACATTCTTCTCCCGCGAAACCATGAATTGATCAGCAAGATACATACATGAGTCTTTTGGTTGATTATTCTACAAGCGATCGAAGGTATTTGTACTCTAGAGAGTTGAAACTCTTTTAAGTGCTTGAAGTAGCCAAATCTGATGTTTGTGAATTAAAAAGCTAACAGTTTTTTACGTGGATGTAATGTGGTCAATCAAGCAGAGATGATAACAAAACATAACTGAGAACAAGTCCAAAACAGAGTACTTGTAAAGGAGAGAAACAGAGCAACGTCATATGCATTATATAGAAAATCCATTATCATATATAACCCAAAAGAAGTAAAAAAAAATAAAAAATCATTCAATCAAAATTGAAAACAGTGATAATAATCTAAGGTTCATTCATCAAAGAGTGACAGCATTAAATTGTAACAAAGAACATGACTTGGGGACTGTAAGCACAACATTACACCACTCAATCTTCCCACAGATCTCTTGTGTATTGTGTCTTTCAAGCGCAATCTCAGCACACCAAATCATCTTTTGTTAGAGCCTATAGCACGCACTTTCTTCTCCCACAAAACCGCAATTTTTCCACCACAATCCACCAATCTAATATATCTAGAACGTTAAGTTTTGGTAATTTAGGTAATGTTTTCAAACCCTTCAAAAATCTCCACAATCGTCCCTCGGTGTCATAACATATGATCCTTCTGGAAAGTACAGTATAGACTACATTATCTATCATGCAAGAAGAAGAATTGCGAACCCAGCGCAAACACTTCTCCAATCCTACTACATCCCATATTTGTTCTTTAGGCTTGTAAACCGTACTTTTATACCCAAACAGGTAAAGTTTTTCGCCAAGAACTAAACTTCTTGTTATATAACTCCCACGTAACTCCTCGCTAGGGATTGGAACATGCTCCCATATTTGGATTTTGGGATCGAAAAACTCGATCAAATTCGAGGGATCGGCAACATTCTTGCGGTCCACGACATATATTTTTCCATCAAGAACACTTACGAGTGGGCACTTTCGGGACATCTGCATGCTTGGAGCTTCGTGCCAGGTGTGAGACCGACAGTCCAAGATGAAGACCCTAGACGAGACCGCACCATCGATGTGGCCGCCGATCATGTAGATATTAGAACCAATTGTGGTACCCAAGGTACTAGTCAACCCAAACTGAGGACAATCGTTGCGAATTGGGACTGAGACCATAAACTTTTCACTTGACTTGTTTTCTTCTTTCCTAGTGCGATTCTTTAGGATTTTATATGTGTATTGTGTCTTTCAAGCGCAATCTCAGCACACCAAATCATCTTTTTGTTAGAGCCTATAGCACGCACTTTCTTCTCCCACAAAACTCGCATACCATAACACGATCTCCTGAAGATTGAAATTGGAACTAAGGAACCGAAGTTATTACAAAGCAATCCCAAAGTACCCATTTTCTTATAGTAACCTTTCACATGGAAAAAAGAGAGAGAGAGAGAGAGAAGATGATAGAGTTACCCTAAGGTTCCAAACAGATGATAGAGTTACGCTAACTCGCTAAGGTTCCTCAAATCTAAATTTGTTGTAGCTCATGAAGTGTGTTTGGTTGAATAAATAGAGGAACAGAGGCATTCATCATTCTAAATACCCAGAAACAGAATTGAAAGCATAGATAGACTTTAAAAATATTAATCGACAAGAAGATGAACTAGACGACACTTGCGAGCAGAAAAGGCATGAAAAGATTAAGTGAAAGAGGCAGTTTAACGCGAAGCAGAGCCTGATGAAGCAAAATATCAATACGAGCACAAGAGTAATTGCAAATTAGATAAATGACACACACACAAAAGAAAGCAACTTATATGTGATTTTAAATGAATAAATAGTTTAGACAAAGGAGATTCAGACATAGGTAAAACCAGCATATAACAAGTTAAGACCTACACATGAATGTGAGAGGACAGCAGCGGACCACTCAATCTTGCCCCAAAGCTCGCATTCCTCGGGTCTCGTGTGTTTCAGCAGGGAAATCTCGGCACACCAAAGCTCCAAAGTCAGCGGCGCTTTCCAGAAGATGAAAATCCTCCAAGCAGAGTTGCAGCAGAGTTTGCAGATATCATAACCAGAGAGCTCTTCTAAACCCTTGACTTGCTTCCAATCCAACTCATCTGGCAAACACCAAAGTATCCTCCCGCGGGTATCACCGCAGAAAAAGAATGACGACCCAAAGCAACACCAATCGGTTCTGTACTGTGGCTCAGAATCTGTTTTCCCGGTTGCCACAAACACACATTTACCTGGTGAAAGGGACAAGTTGTCACCATCCTCATCCACCACGTAAACCTCCTTCTTGTCTGTCACCACACTCCACTGGATGTTGAGGGGCATCTTGGGCGTAAACACAAACAAGAAATCCCAAGTCTTGGTCTCGATATCGAACACCTCTGCCCAGTTTGAGGAATCAGCGACATCCCAGCATCCCCCAAACACGTGTATCTTCCCGTTTGCCATGCTTGCCGATGCTCCGCTTCGAGCCATCTTCATGGGCGGAAATCGGTTCACTGTGTGCTTGACACAATCGAAAAACGTGACTTCCGAAGTGGGTTTTCCGTTCACGAGTCCACCTATAACATAGATTCCCCAATGTCTCGCCACGATACAGGATCCTGCTTCCGGCGCCGGATACAATCTCGAAAAGACCCGTTTCAGCCGACGTTGCACGGGGTGGAGGATGAACCACTGCGGGCTTGGATCTGGAAACATGTGCAAATATACGTACAGAGATGGCTCCGTGCAACCCATCCGCCATCTCAAGTGTCCGAGAGCATGGGACGCTACCAGATTCCGGTGTTCCTTGGAGGCGATAGCTACGGCAGCCAGATCCAATCTCGACAATTGAGCCAGGCAGCTCATAGCCACCGCATCTGGCAACCACAATAACCCACACACCTTCCTCGCCAATTCCAATTCACTACATCCCCGAATCTCAAATCTTCCTTTCATTGATTTATTACCGGAGGGATCAATTTCCCTTCTACCGCTAGGGCTTTTCGTGACAAGATCCAGACACAAACTGTATACCAAAGCGTCCGTATTAACTACTTATATTTCGCAACTCTTATCTTGTAATCTCAATCGATAAGAGTTTAGAAATATTATCATGAAAAGGAAAATTCTAAGATGGAAAAAAAAAAATTAGTTTTACTTTCCTAAAAAATAAAAAGGAAAATTGCATAAAAGAACCGTTTTTTGAAATTAAATACGAGTAATAATCACGATAAAAGAACCGTTTTCTCTCTCAAGAGCGATCAACCAGGCGATTCGATGTGATGCACTTACTTTGTCATCGCTACGATTCTCTTCAAGCGGTTACAATAATTTCAATTTTGACAATCGATTACACTATTGTGTGATTGACTCAAAAATTGACGTCTCCAAGTTGAGACAGATTTCTCAAACCCAGATCTGGGATCCGGGATTGTCAAGTGCAGAAATTGAAGATGGTGAAGTGAAATCACGATCAGATCATATCAATACAGTGTGTCGATCGACACAAGTCGAGAGCAGAGACAATCAGCACGATCGGTGTTTTCTTCTTCTCGGCTTTGGTGTTAGTGGAGGATGTGAATAGGATGAGAATCAGAAGATCAAATCAACAACACGTATGGGTTTACGGTACAATCACAAAAAATCATATCTCTTTTTTCAGAAGAGTTCCAAAATCTATGGTCTTGCGATGTAACGGATGGATCGCAGACTTTGACTTTCGAAAGCGTAAAAGAATGTTCATCGATAAAAACAGATGTTTCCCAAGCTAGAAAGCCACACAAGATTGACGGATAAGACGAGAGCAACTAAGCATATGATTCGGATTGCGGCGCCAAAACTTTTTTGCTCTTTCATTACAAAAATATTTGATTGTATTCATATCCTTATGTGTAACATTACAATCTTTGGTTCATATTAATAAAGTTATGATTTGGTGGGAAAAAAAAAAAAAAGGAAAATTGCAATGTATTAAATTGTAAAAAGAAAAAAAAATCGTTAAAAAAAGTTAGTGTTAGTCTGAAAAAAAAAAAAGTTAGTTTTAGTTTTATAATAAATAAATAAAAAATTAGTGTTAGTCTGAAAAAAAAGTTGCAATATGTTAAATCGTAGAAAGGAAAAAATCGTTAAAAAGAATTAGTGTTAGTCTCAAATTTTCTTAAACTGTGAAAAAAAAATTCTAAAATACAAAAAAATGGTTAGTTTTAGTTTTCTAATAAAATAAGTTTTATTTTCCTAACAAATAAAAACGAAAAATACGAAATGTTAAATCGTAAAAAGAAAATATTATCTACAAAAAGGAAAAAAATCGTTAAAAACAATTAGTGTTAGTCTGGAAAAAAAAAAGAGTTATGGTAAATGAAAGTAACTATTAATCTGAAGAAAAAAAAAGAGTCGGTTTTAGTTTCCTAATAAAAAGAAAAATTTGCAATTTGTTAAATCGTGAAAAGGAAAAAATCGTTAAAAAAAAAGTTAGTGTTAGTCTAACAAAAAAAAAGAAGTTAGTTTTACTTTTCTAATAAAGTTAGTTTTAGTTTCCTAACAAATAAAAATAAAAATAAAAATTTACAAAAAGTTAAATCGTAAAAAAGGAAAATTCTATCTACCCAAATCGTAGTTAATTTATGTATAAATAGTCATCTAATCCATTATTTCACATCATAACTAACCCCTACATTTTTTTGCTTTGATATTTACGATTTAATTATGGCATGGTATTTTATTGAAATATTAATGGTGTTTAGTTTTATGTCTTGTAGGTTGGATTTGTAAAAATTATGACGTGAATCGATCAAAATTTTTGGATATTGTTCAATTGATCAACATGTCCTAATATATATTGTAAGCATAATATTTTTTTTGTTTTTCTTTATGAATCTATTAGTTTTTTTAGTGTTCCAATTTTTACGTCGATAATCTATAAGAAAATATTGGAAAGATTAATTTGATATTTTAGTGTGATAAATTCTCATTGAATCTTGGTATTAATATTTATTAATGATCAAAAGGTCCATCAATAATTAGTAAAGAGTTGAGTTTATATTGTGAATGTTTAATGGTTGGTATCTGCGCTTCCAAACTGTGAATAAGGTAGTATCGAAGTCTATTTTTTGGTTATTTGTTGTGTTTAAATTATTTTTGGTGATTTTTAGCTACCACCGATTGATAATTTCTCCATCTTAACTAGCGCTTCATTTTTGCTATTATGTTATTTTTAATAACAAATATTTCGTGCTGTGTAACTTGTAATGATAACACACTATATGTGCTGGTGGATATTATTAACTAGCGCTTCACTCGTGCTATTATGTTTGTTTTTATAGCAAACATTTTGTGATGTCTAACTTGTAATGATAACACATTATATGTGCTGGTGGATATTGTTTCGTGACATTTTGTTAATGCTTGTTAATGCTGCTGTAATGTATATTATTATGTGCTATAAAGAAAAAAACGCAAGTACATTTCTTCACCAAACCAAGTCATAAAGAAACCGAGGCAGCTCTAGTAGATCTCCAACTCATACCATTTAACAACCAACGCCATTCCTTGTCTTCTTTTACAGTTGCTTCAAGCTATAAACTAACTTTGATTAAGGAAAAAATGAATTAAAACCAAATTCTTGTCTTCTTTTACCTCCTTTGTCTTAATCCCAGTCTCTGGTGTCTGCAACATCACGAAAAACCAACACTTTTAATAAAAAAAACCACACATCTCAAACAAAGCTGAAGCAGATTGGTCTAATGTCTCAACCTTTCTAATACTCACTTCAATTGGAAAGGACAAACAAACAAAAAGACTTAACAATCTACCGATTCATTTAATTTCGGATGTTTTAAAATCTACCTTGAAGAGGATATGATCGAGATTAAGCTGGACATCTTTCAAGGAATCACGAACATAACGACGCGCCGAAGCTTCGTCAATATTAACCTCCTTGAGTCGCCCAAGCTCCTCATTGTCTAGCTTCGCATCGGAGCCATCGATCTCTTCTTTCGCCACACCAAACTTCCTTTATCTACAAACCCCAAAGGTGATGTTTGTTGATGTTTGTCTCAGGCGAAGCTTGGGTTTTTACTGTCAAACAAATAAACAATTGTTAGATTCAGTTGAACAAAACTCTTATAATGGTATCAAAAGATACAAATAAACAATTTTCTTTCAAATAAACAAATAAACTCTTATAATGGTACCTTCGACAGACCATTCTTCTTCTTCGTCTTCTTCTTTGGTTCTCTCGGATTCGAGTCGGAGATGGCAATGAATTTTAGGTTTGAAGAAGTAGAAGAAGTAGTGTTACAAGAGGAAGAGTTTGTTACGAAGAAGATAACAGAATTTCGTTTATTTCACTTGATTAATCTGAACATTACAGACTCGATTATATATCAAGATAATCCCGGTTTAATCCGGTTTACAGACTCAATTATGGTTTATGATAAACCATACTCTAATAGCCTCCCTCAAGATGGATAGTATATAGAATGAAGTGCCATCTTGCCAATAAGAGTCTTGAAATGAGCTGGAAACAGAGGCTTGGTGAACACGTCTCAATTTGTTGATCTGTTTTGACATGAAGAGTCTTAATCAAGCCACTGATGACCTTGTCTCGAACAATGTGGCAGTCCAGTTCCACATGTTTTGTGCGTTCATGAAACACAGCATTATTAGCAATATGAATAGCTGTTGTTGAATCACAGAAGAATGGTACCGATTTGGTTTGAGGCGCCTGAAACTCTGAGAAGGTTAACAAGCCAAGCTACCTCTCTTACTGCAAACTCCATAGCTCGATACTCAGACTCAGCTGAAGAATGTGATGCAGTCGGTTGTTTCTTAGACTTCCAAGAGATTAATGATTCTCCCAGAAACATACAAAAACCAGAGGTAGACCTTCTTGAATCACGACATGATGCCCAATCCGCATCAGTATAAGCCTGTAGGATCAGGTTACAGTCTGCAGAATAAAAGAGACCAGTACCAATCGTACCTTTGACATAATGCAAGACTTTGCAGGCTGCTTGCATGTGAGATTCCTTAGGAGCTGCAGTAAATTGACAAAGTCTGTTCACTGCATATGTAATATCAGGCCCTGTGATTGTAAGATACATCATTTTCCCCACTAAGCTTCTGTAAGCTGCAGGGTCTTTCATCGGTGGTTCATCTCCATCTGAAACCAATTTCAGACTTGGCTCCATAGGTATACTGGATGGTTTACATGCTAGTAAACATGTTTCTTCAAGTAAACCCAACGCATATTTCCGTTGACAAACAGAGATTCCTGAAGCATTGCGAGCTATCTCCAAGCCCAGGAAATACTTGACCGAGCCTAAATCTCGTAGCTTAAAAGCTTTCTGCAAATCCTCTTTGAGCTGACTGACTTCTGTATCATCATTACTGGCAATGATAATGTCATCAACATATACAAGCACTGCAACATACTTCCCATTCACATTTCTCACAAACAAAGTGTGATCAGCCTGTGATTTTTGAAATCCCAGAGACATTAATGTGGTACTGAATTTAAGAAACCACTGTCTTGAGGCTTGTTTTAAACCGTATAGTGACTTTTTCAACTTACAAACTGCATTAGGTGGAAGAGCTTCACCATCCTTTGCAGTGTATCCAGGTGGAAGAGTCATATATATTTCCTCTTCTAGATCACCATTTAGAAAAGCATTTGAGATGTCCAACTGATGTAAACTCCACTTCTTTGCTGATGCAACTGCTAATAAGGTCTTGACTGTTGTCATTTTTGCAACAGGTGAAAAAGTATCAACAAAGTCAACTCCCTCTTGCTGTGTATAACCTTTGGCAACCAACCGTGCCTTGTAACGCTCTAAACTTCCATCAGCGTTTAACTTGACTTTATAAACCCAGCGACAACCTAGAGAATGCTTACCTGAGGGTAAAGAACAAATCTCCCACGTTGCAGTACCCTCCAAGGCTTTTAATTCTTCATTCATTGCGTTTAACCAATCATCTGATTTTCTGGCTTGAGTAAAAGATGTCGGCTCTGCATATTTAGTAACAGAACAAATGTAGGCTCTATATGGTGGGGATAAACCATCATAGCTCAGAAAATCAGAAATAGGATGCTGAACCCCATTAGTAGATAGATTACAGTAATAGTCTTGTAGATAAGCTGGAGTTTTACTTGTTCTGCGATCACCTTTTTGAGAAATAGTGTTATTAATAGGAGTAGAACTGCTAGTTGTATCAGTCACAACTGTAGGAGTCTCACTCACAACTACAGGTATATCAGTAGAATCAACAGTATTATCCTCAACAATAGCTTCTGCAGAAGGTGAAAAGAAATCTTGCAGAACAGTAGACTCACCTTTAGCAAATGGAAATATATCCTCATGAAACACCACATTGCGTGATATATATATGGCATTGGTTTCCAAATCCAGAAGTCTATAACCTTTAA